ACACTCTCGTGCTACGTCCCGCTCACAGCGCCAGATCAAGCTTTTGCAAATGCAATTCTAAGTGCCTTTCATAAGGAACATAAGCAACGCGAGTCTATGAAGTTTCTGGGGAAAATGCAAAGGAAAAAGATTCGGATCATGTGTGACATCCCAAACGGTGGTAGTGAGGCCTACAGGCTCATCAAGGAGAACCCCTTTCCGCCTTTGCAGATGATACACTTTGACCGAGCGGCCGCAATCAAGCGTACTATCTGGCCCAAAGAGGGACGGGATAAGCTGATCCTTGAAAATGCAGATGCCGCCACGTTTGACACCAACGAGCAGATTGTGTTCCAGGGACAGACTGCCCGGATAGAACATGCTGATGGCAGGACTCTCACCCTAGACAGACCGGTGCGTCTCAAAAACCAAAAACTCGAGGTTAGGCAACCAGCTGTGACTGCAGACCGTAGTGACATGCATCGTCAGATCCTTGCTGCTTGGCTCCCGATGGTCCAACGTGATCATTTAGAGGAGGATGATGAATGGGATCAGATAATCTTGCGTCTCGATAACCTTGAGATTGGGATCCCTCCCATGCCTTATACCCCCATAACCGGTGCCCAGATCAAGGATGCCCTGCAAGGCACCAAAATCAGAAGTGCCAGAGGAGGTGACGGTTTTTCCACAATGGACCTCAGGAAGCTTCCTTGCGAACTCCATGAGTGGCTAGCCGATATTTTCCACGTGTGTGAACAAGGGAGTGCTTGGCCAGGACGGTGGATGCTTGCCAAGACCCATTGTCTCCCCAAGGGGTTTCAACCCAAGAGTCCACTGGATATCCGTCCGGTTACTGTCCTAGGTAAAACTTACCGACTTTGGTCTAAAATCAGGTCGCAGCAGGTTATGGCGCACCTTGGCAGCCACCTTCCACCGGAAGTGGCAGGGATTGCAAAGGCCATCAGCGCAGATCTCATGGCCATGTATACGGCAGAAAGGGTTGAAGAGGCTAACATGGAGAACAGCCCAGTTTGCGGAGCCATTTTTGACATTGTCAAGTGTTACAACTGCATACCCCGCAGACCTCTCATGCGGGCTCTGCATAAGTGTGGTGTTCCTGGGCCAATTGTACAGGCACTTGCCGGCGCATTGAAGGATATGCGCCGAACTTTTGAAGTTGCAGGTTCTTTCGGAGACATCTTTCAGACGACAACTGGCATTGTCGAGGGCTGTGCCATGGCGGTTGCCTGCATGACAGTGCTGTGCGCGTGGGCCCACCTGCAGGTAGTGGCCCCAATGCCCGGCCTTGACTCGTCATTCTATGCTGATAACTGGGCCCTCATTTCAACTAGCCTCACCACGTTGGAAAATGCCGTCAGAAAATTGGTTGCCTTCTTGGATGACCTTAAGCTTCGAATTGCGCCTGACAAGAGTTGGACCTGGAGCAACAAGCCAAGCATTCGCAAGAAACTCCGCGGACTTGTGATTCACTCGGCACGCGTCCCAGTCAGGCACACTGCCAAGGACCTTGGAGCGGATGTTTCCTATACCAGAAAGAGACCCTATGCCACCAAGACGAAGCGAATCGCCAAGGCTAGGACCCGCCTCCTGAAGTTGGGACGAACCAAAATCCCTGGGTCCTTCAAAAAGACGGTTGCTGTTTCTGCTGGCCTGGGTTGTAGCGCATATGGGGAAGAGTTTGTCCCGCACAGCAAGGCGCCTACCCACTCGCTCAGAGTTGCGGTTGCCAGAGCCCTTAACAGGGCAGGACATGGCACCAATGTGTGGTTGGCTCTCAATGCTGCAGACACCAACCTTGACCCCCAATGGAGAGCCATGCTGCAGCGAATCCGCTTCTGGAGACGGTATGTCATGGCTTTCCCGCATCGAGCACAGAGTGTTTTCGCCAGGTTTGCCCTTGACCCCGGTACAAAGCCCAAAGGCCCTGTTGCCTTCTTGGCTCATGTTATCAGGGAGCTAGGTTGCACCACCAGTGATGACGGCCTGTTTATCCAATATAGGCAACAAAAAATTGCTTGGGTGCACGCGCCACCAAAACTGCTACAGAAGTTCTTGTGGCCTCACTGGAACAAGTATGTCGCCAAACAGTGTGCAGGCAGGAAGCACTTCGACGTGACTGCATTCGATGCGCCTCTGACCTCCCAGGTTCTAGAATCTCAGGCGCCGAGACAAAGGGCAATCATCCTTGCCTGCTTGGCAGGGAAACACTATACCAGTGATATCCTAGCCAATTACATAGCTGGATGCGACGGAACATGTGACTTGTGTGGTGAACCTGACGGTCGACTGCATCGGGTCTTCCAGTGCCCGGCTACCCAGGCCATACGGAATGAGTTTGCAGACTCTGTGCGCGCGGTCGCACATTGGCCTGAAGCATGCCGATATTTTGGTGTGTGTCCCTGGGATCCCGAGCTGGATAACATTCAGTCGCACATCCCTACCCTGCCAGATCCTGCCACCCTCTCCTCTGACTTGTGGATACGATTTGAGCAGAAGCGGACTGCTAATGGTAGCAGTGAGTGCCAGGTTTTTACGGATGGGTCCGCTTTCAATCAGACATGCCCTTACACGGCGCTTGCATCCTCAGCAGTGGTTCAGGTTCACCCCACTGAATGCAGGCTGCTTTTTGCGTTTGGGGAAATTTTGCCGGGTGCCTTCCAAAACAGCTACCGTGGTGAAGTTTATGCCATCCTTCTTGCAATCAGTATGTTTGAGAATTGTACCATCTATTGTGATTGCCAGGCCGCTGTTCAGCTTTTCGAAAAAGCCCTGAATTCTGTTCAGACACGTGAGCCTGTCAAAGCACGTGATGCGGATCTTTGGGAAGCGATCTGCTGCACCCTGAAGCGCAAGCAGGGAGCCGTTGTCCAGATCAAGAAAACCAAGGCGCATGCTAACATGGCACAGGCACCAACGGCACAGCTGAAGTGGGAAGCTTTTGCCAATGACTGGGCTGATCACCATGCCAAGCAGGCTATCCAACATGGCTGCCATCGCCAACTCCAACGTGCCAATGCTGCAGCTACCAGACGGAAAGTCAGGAAGGTACAGCTGAGTCATTTGTACGAACTAATGGTGAAGACTGCAGACTTGCACTTGGCGAAAGGGGCTGAAAGAAGGAAAGATGGCCTTCAGATGAAAACGCTCCAAGCAGATTTGTCAAGTTTGCAGCCGTGCCCAGAGCCTAGACGATGGATCATTGCGGCCCAGGATGAACCCATTCTTGCATGCCCTTTCCACCCGGCCTTTGCTTTCAGAATCCTTGAGTGGGCAAGGGCCCTGAGCTGGCCGGCTGCCTGCAGATGTGGCAAAGATACCACCTATGTTGAGCTCTACCTTGATTTCTGTTTGTTCACCAATAGCCGGGCCCCCGTTTGCCTTTCTAGCTCCAAGACTAGGGTGGCGGGAGTGTCCAGGTGGGAATTGAGAGATCAGAACATGCAGGCCGATTTGGCGCCTCTTGACCTTGCCACCCAGAGCGCCACCTGGCACAAAACCATACATTGGCTTCAGACCAACTTGGAGACTCCTTTGTGGCCGGCTCCACATGTCAACCGGGCCCGGTCCCTGACAACTGTGGGCTATGCCTTGAAGGCGGCAGGAGTGGCCTGTCGGCCCGTCTTGACGCATGGTGACCAGGCCCTGCGTGTCTTCGAGATGTATGTTAAAGGTGAAAGGGAAACCCGTAGGAACCTCACGTGTTCTCTACACCTGCCTCTGGGCTCACCTGACCCTGTGCCGGGGGAGTTGTGGCAGCCATATGAAGTGAGAGTGCGCAATGTGAATGAGTGGAGGAAAGCCAGGAGATGAGCATCTCGCCCATCCGGACTTAATTCGCTTGCAGGTTTTTGGCAGAGTACCTTTGGTCTGGAGACTGACTCCGGCCCTTTCATTTACCTTGGCGCCATAGGCGCTGAGTTTCATTGGCACAAGCCATCAAGTGACAGTGTGCCCTGGCCACGCATACCGCTGGGTCAGAGCACTGCATTGGAGCTCCGATGCATTAACGGCAAAGCGTTAAAAAGCCACTGGTCGAACGGGTGGCGATTTGCAAAACAGGAGCGCTGGCCTGCTAGAGAGTCCCCAATGCATTGAATCATCAACGTGCAAAAATGCTTGTCGAAAGGCAGGTGAAGGGAATGCGCTGTGTCGCCTGTTTTGACTAGCCGCTGGTAGGTTCCACCTGGAAACCTTGAGCAGAAAGCACCCGCCGCCCCAAGATTGCCTCGGGTTGATGCACGCGCAATTTCGAGCGTCCATATCAACTTGCTCGCTTAAGGTGACCATTCAGGGCTAGTGCCAACAGTTGAAGAGCACCTGATGTGCCAGAGTCAACGCGTTTGTCTCGGAGAATTGATTTTGGATAACTGCGAAACCTGCTTCCCGGACACAACGCAGGTCATGGGCAGCCCCCCACTGCTCCAGCCGTTTTGGTACCTCGCGCGTAGTAGCGCTCAGGAAATGTACAAGGGGTGTCTCCCACAGAGCCCTGGAGGGGACAAACCCTTTGAAGGGGGGATATGGGGTTAGCGGCAGCAAACGTTCAAATCAAGACCTCGCCTATGACCCGCCCTTATTTTCTGGCCGCCTTCCCAAAAATGGTGCCGCACCTTGAACTCTTGTCATCCCACAAAAGTGACCACTACTTGGCTCCGCTTTATTTGACCGAGCATCTTCTATTTGTGGAAAATTTAGCAGCTTGGCCGCAAATGTTAAAACAGCTATTGACTTCTTGTCTTCGCGCGCGTCAGAGACCAATCCAGACCAAAATCCAGACCGAAACTTAGCAGCGCACAAGGCCGATTCCCATTGGTCATTTCAGTAGACGTGTCTACTTGGCTTGCTAGGGATGAGAGTAGCCCCGATATAGCCATGGGGTAAAACCAAGCTTTATGGCTTTTTGGTTGGATTTTTGGACTTCAACTCTTTTGTTTGAAACCGGTGTGTTTTCCGAGTTGCAAGTTCTACTCACCCTTTTGCAGCAACGCCGATGGCCCGAGGTCGGCTCACA